CCGTGACAGTAAATGAGGACATGACCTTGAACTTTGGCAATTCCTATCCAGATCCTGAACAACCTTTCAGTGAGAAATGTTTCCAAGGTCGACTCTGCACAAGTACATGAGCTTCACTGTATGCAAGCTACAAGAAGGCGCCCTTCACAATTGCAGTTGTCCCGCAGTGTCTCTACACTCGACGTAACGCTACACCGAGAGTGACTCCACGTTATGGGCGTGGCGATATTGCACGCTTCCAAGACCCTGTGACAGTCACAGTGTGCCATTGTTTACATTCTTTACTTCTGGTCGAGGCGCCCGTTTCTTAAGTACAGAACCCGTAATATTTCAGTATTTCACATTCAGGACTTGTGATAAGAAAATGAAACAGTCATTCAGTCGCTACCTATCGGGTTTTAAACTTGAAAGGCCGCGAGGGTGCGCTTCACAGGATCACGTGTTGAATGTACATGTGAAACGATGGGTTACTGTCAGCAGTAAGAGCCAAATGATGCAGTTAAAAAATTATTGAAAATCATCCATGAGACACGCACTTGCCTTTTGCGTTACGTAGAAGCGCGCACCCGACGGCGCATAATAAAAAGCTGGACTTGTCAATACACAATGATTAACCAACACATAATTTGTCAACTTGAAAAGTTTGCAAGCACACACTGCGTGCTGAATATTTAATGAGATGAACAGCCCTTAGAACAATGAAAAGAATGCACGTCTGTTGCGTACGTTATGTGCGTTGTATGTTTCACGCACGGTGCCTGGATTTAGGTTAGAAACACAATGATTAAATCATTTATAAACTTGGAAAGCTTGCCAGCACACACTGCGTGCTGAATATTTTAGTAAGTTACGCGCGTTGCATATTTGACGCGCGTTGAGTGGATTCAGGTTAGAAACAAAAACATGTCATTATACAGCACCGCAACAGCCGGCACAGCAGAGGTAAAAAGGAAGAAAAGCTGCAATTTGGGGCGAAACTTTTGAGTCGCAAAGAGACACAAACCGGTACTTGTCCAGCGGGGTCGGTTAGAAGGTGGGGCTGACGTTTGAAGGAGGAACAAGCAGGTGGGACTTTGGCAGGGCTGAACTGCGGCGTATCGCTCAATACTGGAATGAAACAAAGAGATAAAGAACGGGTATTAATACAAGCAGAAGTAACTAAAAAGATAAACCTAGAAAATAACACAACATCCGAAGTAGCTTGGCACAAAAGGGGCTTTCAATTAAACAGCCATCGACCTATCTCTTCTTTGAAATAGTGGTGCGTTGGATATCGCCGCGGCGGCCAAGGTCGCCAAGTACGATGGACTTCGGCAAGCTGTGGCTACTGCGGGTAAGGACGTTGAAGTGTACGGCTTTGCGGTCGGTTCCCTCGGTTCCTGGTGCCCAGGAAACGAGAGAGCACTTCGGCGCCTTGGGATATCCAAGCGCTACCGAGGTCTGATGCGTCGTCTGTGCTGCATAGACGCCATCAATGGTTCCTGGGACACTTACATCGAACGCATCACCGGCCACCGTCAGTACACTGACGAGTAGGCCTTTCCCGAGCTTGTCACAAAGATACTGCATTATGTATTTTGCTAATAACCATGCTTTCTTATTTTGTTCTTTCCTACAGGTGAAATCTACCGGGGCTGCGACGAAGAAGATTGACGACCGAAAGAGGATGCCAGTCTATTTAATTTTTTACTTATAGCCAGGTTAACTCTGCTTATTATACAGGGTTTAAATCCACCCTGTTTAACTTATCTTCTTTTTTCTACGTTCACTTTATTATAAGCACCTCTGTTAAAGAGGCTTTGGATTGTATAATTACTTATCTTTTTGTATCTTAAATGATTATATTTGTAATAAACCTCTGTTCTTTTCAGTGTGATATCTGAAACAGCCAGTTTATCAAACTGATCTTTGAACTTTGGCCGTGGAATAGGGGCTTGCCTCGTCCCGGCCACGGTTGGCCCAGTATAGCAGTACAGTCAGGATTTGGCCCACTCCCTTCGGGGGAACACAAAAAAGGAAAAAAAAAACACGGACTAACTTCAGTTTTGTTGAATCACTTTATCTCTCGGCTCTTTCTTCTTCTCCGACACATTCCGACTAAATAAAAAGGCCATTTTACAAAACTGGACATTAAACAGTATATTTCGTAGCAATAACGGCATGCAAGAATGTCAATAAAAGTGGCTAGGGAAAGAAAGAGACATAGACACGGCACCCACTACTTGTCGCATTTTATTTTTTTATATTTATCTCCCCCCTTCCAATTTTCCTTCTGTCCGTCCCCTGGTTCTCCTTTGACTTCACGTTCTGACCCCGTTTACCGCCAGAGGTGGCTGTCATCCCAACCGCATGCTCGTGCAGCTTCTACCGCGTCCGCGCATGCGTTATACCTGCTCTGACGACTTGTCGTCCGCATCATTTTCACTAGCAATTGAACAGAGCAAGAACATCACGTCTGGACGAGGCAAGGGAGGCAAAGGACTGGGCAAGGGGGATGCCAAACGCCACCGGAAGGTCCTCCGTGACAACATCCAGGGCATCACCAAGCCGGCCATTCGTCGCCTTGCGCGCTGCGGAGGAGTGAAGCGCATCTTTGGTCTCATTTACGAGGAAACGCGTGGAGTCCTGAAAGTCTTCCTGGAGAACGTCATCCGTGATGCGGTCACCTACTGCGAACACGCCAAGAGGAAGACTGTCACTGCCATGGACGTGGAGTACGCGCTCAAGAGACAAGGGCGGACGCTGTACGGCTTTGGGGGCTAGACCACCGAACTCCCATCATAAGGTTCGTCAGGTGCTTGGAGATTGACACAAGTGAGTGCAGAACATCGCAACCTACCGTCCCGGGCCGAACGCCTGACAGTGGACTGCGTTCCGATTGGATAACTCCAAGGGCAAGCGCAGCGCTTGACTAGTCACAACTACACTGACATTAATTTGGGGAGGAATCGACAAGAAGGTAAAGTACACTGACAGCTCTTTGTCAAGAGAATGAAAACCATCACCATAATCGCTCAACAACACACGACACTTTTACACTGACTGTCACTCGGCATACATCACGGCAGTACGGATACCCTGTGCGTTCCATGCCTGTGAGGGCGAAGTACCACGAGACATGAGAGATGGCATCATCGTAACGTTACACGAGAAAAGAGCAGAGAGATAAAGTGATTGAACAAAAATTAAGTTAATCCATCTTTTTTTTTGGTTCCCCGAAGGGAGTGGGCCGAATCCCGGATGTACTGCTACACCGGGCCAACCCAAGATACTGATGGGCACTTGTGGTCTTTGGTCCCGATCTCGGTTTGAGGCTGGTCCCGCTGTCGTCCCCGGGGTTAGCTGTCATCCTGGCACGGCACAGCTTAAGAATGCCTGGATATGTGAGTTTGCGGTATCGGTGGAAAGGATAGTGTCTCCGCTTTTGAAATACTTGTAATTTGAAGAAAACGGGTTGTTTAGTTTTTCAGAATTAATTAAGTTAGAGGAGTGGCTGTTCGTGAAAACGCAAAAAAGATAAATGAGCAAATTCGCCCCGTGCGTGTAAAATTCGCCTCTTCGTGAAAACGCTCAAGTCAGCACGCGCGAAATTTGCCCCACTGGGATTCAAATTCGCCCCTTCGTGAAAACGTTCCGAGTCTGTTTGTACAGTTTTTGCCCCCTTAGCAAACGATAAGTCTATGCTATTTCAAAGCGATCATGCGTAGGGGCGCTGTGAGTATTAGAGGAATTCAGATGCCGTGGAAAGTACAAGTTAAACTTGTTTGTGTGTCACCTTGCCGTCAGTAGGCCTAACTATTTGTATTATGTTTTTTTCCATCTACAAAGAAAGCAATATGACACTTCCTGTATTCACACAGTTTTCAAGAATTTAGACTGATTAACATAATAATCAATTAATGAATCAATTATGCTTATTTTCCAGCATTACAAATTGGATTTTTTTTTGCACTTGTATATTTACAGGTTTTAGTATCTTTCAGTTTAAAAAGCAGAGAGGCAAAATCCATATATTACAAGCATGTTACATACATTACATGAATTCATTCATACAGGCATTCATACAATCCACGATGTAATGAAAGTAAAAAGAATAAATAATAACATGATTCAAAGATAAAGTATTCAGTATAATCACTTACTGATATACATTATAATTACTTATTTTCCTTTCTGCAA